CCTCTGCATGGAGGGAACACATTTTAGTCAATTGAGTTATCCAATTTTATTATTTAAAAAAAATCCATATTGGTTGTTCTTTTTATGCTAAAAAATTTATGGCACTGTGTAGAGTAGAAATATGTGTTTTTCAAGTCTATGGACAGCTATGGATTGAACTCGCATAATTCCACCAGGGTCATTCATTACAATTAGATGAATAAACATTATCATGTTTTCATCAACTTTTTTTGTGAGCAAACAGAGACCAGTATTATACTTTAAAATATTACATTTTATTACAAATCTACATAGAGAAAAACTTAATTATATCAATACTGTAATTAAAAGTGACACTAAAGAAGCTGTGGTTTGGGGCACTTGAAACTTCAGAATTATTAGCCTTTCTTTTACCAAGAACAGTTAGTGGGAACATAAGGGGGAATGAATTATGTTTTAATGCTTTAGTTTCTCTATCAATAAATGCTCATTTCCATCGTCTTGGAGAGGAACAGTAATTAATGTTGAATGAAATTGCTATTTTCTACTGAATTTATAATTTTAATATATATTCTTACTAATAACCACCTCACATATATACAAATGGCCCAGTCATCTGTATACCCTCTTTTGTAACTATTAAAAAATTAAATTTACCCGTGATAAGATTTAATTCGATTTTAATAAGCATAGCCTGTCAACCCGCTAGACCATTCACAAGACCCTAATGAACATATAATATACTCACATATACAGCCCAATAATTTATCGGCAATGATATATGCAGAATATCACTTGGATATTGTTCACAGAATTCGGTCCTAGAAGTAGGTGGTGTGAGTAAGCCAAATAATTTTTCTGTGATATCATCACTATGGAATATATTCATATATCAAAATTTGCTGTAGTTCTGGGGCAGGTTGGGGGGATTTTCAAGGTCATGTTCCTACCTTAATAAACACATATGAAGAGTGTGAGTAATTTCTTGCCACTCTAATAAAAGTGGCCTTGCTGTATCAGGCAAAATTATGTATCACACAGATGTTATTTTCTTCTTTCCCATCATCTTTTTTCACCTTTCCCATCATCCCCAGGAGTTTCAAATGTCCTAATCAACTAGAATAATTAAAAGCAAAATCTACATCTTAAATTATATTTCTAATCACAGCAATATCAATGCTGTTTCATTTTCCTTGCAATCTTTTAATTATTTTATTGTGATCAAATCAACTTCTTGGCTATGCCTTGACATCACCCTACCAAAAGAGAGGTTAGGATAGAACTTTCAAAGTACTGATTAACATAATTTGGTGGGTCATTTACCAAATGTAGACACTGGGATTGCTTAAAAAAAAAAAAGAAAGAAAAGAAAGAAAGAAAAAGAATATTCTAACATGGCAACTACCTATTCCTTTACCACATGAAACATCTAGTGAGATATTTACAAGAAATTTTGAGAACTATGAACAAAAGGCAGTCAGTAAATTTGAAGTATTATCAGTATTTAAAGCCAAGCTATGGTTCTTTGAGATGTAGTGTTTCAGAGAAGTTGAGTTCTCCATAAACCTTTGTGCTTAAAGGAGACCGCGATCTCTCTGCCTCTACTTACTCTGCAGCGCCTCCCAGGCAACACCACCACCATAAAACACCGGCAGGGACCTAACTGCCATTCCTCCTCAGATTTTCCTGTTCCATCTGTCAGTAACTCCCATTCCCTCTCTTACACTTTGGAATTGTTGTCCTAGACTCAAGCTTTTCAGATTCACCTTGGTTGAACCTTCTGATTTCAAGGTGTCTCTGGGATGGCAGCAATAAAGGTAGGCAGATTTAAAAAGATTTTTTTTCTTCCTAAACAGGCTGCCTTCAAACACAGTTCTGCATTGACTTTAAAAGTTTATAAAATATTTTTTCTTTTTTTATAATCTTTTTTTTAAAGATTTTATTTATTTATTTGACAGAGAGAGAGGGAGAGAGAGCACAGCAGGGGGAGCAGTAGGCAGAGGGAGAGGGAGAAGCAGTCTCCCCGAGGAGTAGGGAGTCTGATGCAGGGCTCGATCCCGGGACCCTGGGACCATGATCTGAGCCAAAGGCAGTCGCTTAACCAACTGAGCCACCCAGGCGCCCCTAACATATCTTTTTCTTGAGAAACATCGGGGGGCACTCTATCGGGGAGGTTGCTGTATCAGCATCGAATAGTCTGGCTGTTCTCTAGGCACGGAGGCTGAACGTGGGTCTGTGTAGAACTTCTGGCCGTCCGTGGGAGATTCCTAGAGAACTGTCACTTGGAGAAGGGAAAGATGATTATGATTGCAGGACTTAAATGTGAAGAAGGGAAGGTATGGACAAATCATTTTGGGGTGAGTCTGGGGAATGAGGGTTTGATCTAGGATCAGTATGGTTCCTGTATTTAATTAGGACTCAAGAAAGAAACACTTTTTCTCCTTCTTTTCCAAAACCCTGTATTCTTATTTTTCACTGTAGGTGAGTAGGCTAAATGAGGCACGTATGATGTCAGCAGTGTTTTCTTGAACTAGAGGGCATAATATACCATTATTACTTTGCATTTAGGCAATTTTACTATATACCAGGATTATGACTTTGAGCGCTGTTTTATACTCGTTTAAGGAATACCTGAACACAGATTCCCCTTATTCACAACGAACTTGTGTGTGTTTACACAGTTTCTGTGAGTTCAGCATCAGTGGAAATAGATTGACATTGTTACCTTACTTGAGCCAGCACTTTCAGACCACAGGTCTTGCGACTGACTCCAAGGAGAGAGCACGGCCAAATGCAAAGAATGCAGAAATAAAGACTACCCAGAGGTGGCGCTGTGGTTAAAGTACACCTGAATTTTGATTACAGTGAAATGTATTTACTTCCTTACCCCTCAGAAGAGACTGTTAGCCATTATCGCTTTTGTATTTCTATAACCACAACATCAGCAAATAAAGCTCTCTGGTAACGTACTCCCACCCACTCCAATCTACCGGGACATGTGTAAAGACCTCGCTCCACGCACTATTAGAGCCAAAACACTGAAACCACCTCCTAGGCCTCTTCTTGCCTAGAGATCTGTATTCAAAGTTTCAGCCATGCTTTTCTCCTTCCTTCCTTCCACAAAACTGTATGGATGCTTTGGATAATCACTCAGCGATATCCGATGTCTGACTAAATTTCTAACATTTCATTTTAAACTAAAGATTTCCTTTTAGTGCACATACTTCAGGAAATGCCTAAAGTACCACCATTCATTACAGACCTCTATATTATGTGTTCTAGTTAAGAAAATCATTTTAGGAAAAAAGGACAAATAAAGACCAATTTGGCTTAATTCCTTCATTTGTAGATGAGAAAATTAAGGGCCACAGCAGGATATTTACTTGTACATGACAAATCATAACTTAATTGTAGCCCACTAAGATCTTGTGTCATCTCATTTTGATTATTATAAATTATTAACAAATTGAAGCTGAACCAGGGAATTAAAATGTGTGCATTATTTGTTTATGGGGTCCCTTTCCTCATTTGGTTTAATTGAGTTTTCTTTACTAACCTTCAAGGAACATCACATCTTTTTAAGATGGCCTTCTTTAATCACACCCATCTGCAGCTGTTTTCAGTACAGGGCATTTTAATTACTATTACATTTAAATCATTTTTTAAAAAATGTTTCTCATACGTGCACAAAGTGACTTGATCATAAAAATGCAATTTTAAATACCAATCAAAAGTAAGTCGTTTAATTTTGAGGTGCTAGAAATATAAAGAAATGACTATTCTAATTGGTATTTAAAATGTCCTCTGCTTGATGTTACAGGCAATGATTACTGTTTCTTTTGCAGCCTGAATTTTGATGGTTTGAAAGACAGAAACCCCCCAGACACTAAAACCATAGATGTTTAACAACTGCCTTGTCTAGCCAGATTCTTCTGCAGGTCCCTTTTCTCAATCCAGCAGTACTGTACGTGATACAATATGAAAACTTGTCCCACAAGGCTGGTTTTACTTAATGATACTTAGCAGAAGGGCTTTGCACTTTCATGATAATTTCCACCAGAAAAATCTCTCTGGAACGTACTAATAATAATCAGACCTAATATTAGCCTCAGATCAGAGATTTATTAAACCTATTTGGCAGAGTAGATAAAGTTGAATGACGAGGTATTCAAACATCTAGGCTGAGCTTGGGCCCTGGAAAGAGACTCTCAGGCTAGCACCCTAAAAGCATTCCTGAACAGTTAAATTTATACTAGACGTGACCTTTTTTACTCCCCAGAGGCTGTGAGATTAAGAATGTTGCAATTACTTCTATTGCTTTCGGGGCCTATGAGAAATCATCAGGCCTCATCCTCCAGAGTGAGGTGGAGAGAGGGCAACACTTCCTCCCCGAAGTTTCCCTCAACTTCCAAAGTAAAGGCTGTGATCTTTCCATCACCAACAATTGATAAATATCCATGAAACGCCTACGAGGTTCTGGGTTCGTAGTCGGGCTCATGGGGAGCAGAGGGATACGTGCGCAGTATTTAGGAACTACCGATTCTGTCTTTACCTTGTTAACTGAACTTCCACTAAGGCTCATCAATCTCGAACGCCGGGAATTAAAAAACCAAAACAAAACCTCTTCTGCGTGTGTGTGAAGTCCACCGCCCTAAGATTTTGGGAAGACTCTTCTTCCCAAACAGGAAGAGATCCATTTCTTAGAAAGACGCGAAGTTAAGTTTCCTAAGGGGCTCGCGTCGGCGCGAGGGGAGGGCGGTCCCCGAGGGGCGGGCGGGCGCGGGTCCCCAGGGTCGCCCGCGCGCTGGGAGAGCAGCAGCGGCGCCCCGCGCCTCGGCTCGCGAGCTCGGGCCGCGGAGCACGGCCCCCATGGGGGCCCCGGCGCCCGGGTCTCCGCTCCCCACCTGATTGCGGCCCTTCCCTTCTCCTTCCCCGGCCCACTCCGCCGCCTCCCTCTCTCCCCCGCCCCCAGAGTCTCGTTTCAGTCATCCCTTTGTCCTTCCCCGGATTGGCAGGTTTTATTATTCCGCCTGAACAATCCGGCCGCCCAGTGGCTGAGGGTCGCTGACGTCGGCGGCAGAGCCGGGGAGTAGTTGGGATTTTGCTCTGTCAGTAACACATGTGTAAGCGCCGCGGAGGGAGCGAGCGAGCCGGCTAGAGGCCCGCGCTGCCGCCGCCGCCGCCGCCGCCTCCTCCTCCTCCTCCTCCGAGCCGGGCAGCAGCAGCAGCCCGGGCAGCGGCGCAGGCTCCAGCGCGCCGGGCCCCGGCCGGCCGCAGCTCCCCGGCTCCCGCGTGCGCCCCCCTCCCGGCCTCCGCACCCGCCGCCGCCGCCGCTCCGGGGCTGTTGTCTCTGCGGCTGCTCCCCGGCTGGAGGGGCAGGAAGCTCGGCCGAGCGGCCACCGCCGCCAGCCCCGAGCGAGCCAGCGAGCGCGCGGGAGGGAGGAAGGCGGTGGAGGAGGAGGAGGAGCGGGAGGCGCGCGGGCGGGGGCGGGGGCCGCCGGGCGGGGGAATATACAAAGTGAAGCCACATTGCCAAACTTGCAGCAGCGATTGCAGCAGTTGCTGCCGCTGCGCCGCGCCTGAAGCCGCGCCGCGCGGGCCGAGGGCTCCTGCAGCTGCTCGCGCGGAGCCGGAGGCGGAGGAGAACGCCGAGGACTGAGACTGACACTCCTGCTCTCGGCCGCCTGCCACTTAACGCGGGGCCCCCCCAACCCAGCCTCAGAGCAACGCGTTAAAAAAAAAAAAAAAACAGCCCTTAGCCCCCTCCTCCCCTTTCCTGCTTCTGCGAGAACATCCCCCCCCACTCCCTCCAGCTCCGCCAGCCAAGGCGCCCCTTCCTTGGAAGCCGAGCGGCTTCGCTCGCTTTTCGCCGCCGCCGCCTTTCGCAATATTGCAATATAGGGGAAAAGCAGGTAAGGGGACGGCTGGGGAGCCGCGGGCAAGGAGGGGGGGAGAGGGAGGAGGGGGCCGATTTGGGCCCGGGCTGTTTTCTTTGGCTTCCTTCCCTTGACCGTCCCAAATTGCAAGTAAACAATACGTCGGCTTAGATAATGCGCGAGTCTGAAACTACCGAGGCCGGCCTGCGAGCTAGCACGGAGGGCAGCCAGCCCCGGGCAGCCAGCTTTGTAGCGGTTCCTGCTTACAAAAGGGTTCTTCTTGGAGACGGGGCTGGTGGGGACCTTGGAGGGGGGTGGGGATATTTTCAGTTCCTAAGGGAGAGGCAGGAGGTGCTTAAATGAGGGTTTAAGTATGAGAAGTAATGTGGGGGAAATAGTCACGACCCCCCCCCCCCCCCAGTAAACACTATTTTTGAAACAGTGGCAGAAAGGATCTAAGTGAGCAGGATTCAGTATTGCTGGTTCTTTTCAAAAATTCCTCTTGGCTTATAAGTCTTTTGTTCCAATCCAGGAGAAATCCGGTGAATCACCTAATTAAAATCAAGACATGAATTAAGCATCCATTTTTGTACTACAAATTGCCAGCGCTACGTTTGTCCCTCCCCTGGTCTCCATTAAAAAACACCAGAGACGTTGTTAAAGAGGGGCAGATTTTGCCTCTAGCTGCCAGTTCTGCTTTCTATTTCACTGACTATCCCAGGACCTAAATTGCTTGGCTATGTAATTACTAGAGTATAAGCCTATTTAACTTAAAAGCTTTCTTTTTTTTCCAACTCTAAATGAAACTTGATGAGGGCCCGTCCTTAGTTATCAAGGGAGTCAGTTTCTGGTCAGTCCTCTTGATTCATCTCTTTTAGATTTAATCAGCATTAAGGTATTGCTTGTCCTTAAGAGCTTTAGCTAATGGGGTTACTGGATGCTTTTCTCAGTGTAATGTTTCCTTTTCAAAAAAAAATATACATATATATTTACCTCTCACCAAAGATGGGGGCGGGGAAGAGCTTGGAATCTCCTCCCTCCCTCTCCCCTTTTAAAAAGGAATTCGGAGCGATTAAAACGTTGGGGGAAACAGTTTAAAGACCTCGGGCAGGAAATGCAGATTCATTTGGGTTAGGGCTGAAATTGTAACAAAAAGCAATTCCTCGAGTAAATGCATCAGATAAATCAATTTACATAAAGGTATGATGCATTCGGATGAATGCAATGCTAATGGGTTTTAGAGTGGTCCTGTTTCCAAAGTCTCAGGGTTTTGTTACAGCTTAATTGGTGCAGTTCTTATTCTGGTTTATTGTGCGGTCACTGGACACACGTTCCGGGACTCTTTCGGAGGAAATGTGTTTAAAATCGGCCTATTTAAGGAACCCGAGTCCTTGTTTCGTTCCCTTTCCCTGGTTTTTTTGCAGCAGCCAAGTTGGGCCGGGGACAGGCAAAGTTCGCCCTCTCCCTTCTGAGGTATCAGCTGAATGTCTTGAGCAGATAGCCGGGAGCCTCAGGGGGAGCCTACACTCTCGGCTTACAGAGGACAAAGACAAAACAGGCTGCTTAATTGGCAGTAAATAACTTGATCTTTTTATAGAATAAGTGACTGGAGGAACACTAGGACTTTATTGGACTCAGGATTGGAGGCAACAAATTAATCGGTTTAGGCTAAGCTTTATAAATTGATTCCTATATTATACCCCAGTTGCCTCTCGTGACATTCATTAGAAAGAGTGGGGAATTTTTAAAAGCAGTTTTTGGTGACAGCAGGACTGGCTCGAATATAACTTGTGCATCCCTTAATAGTGCCTTCTCGCATATTATCTGTAACGCCCCCCCCCCTTTGGAGGAACAAAGCTTTAGCATTTAAATTGCTGATCAAGGGCAGATTAGTGAGACCAAAGTGGAGAGTGTTTGTATAGGAAGTTAACAGGCATCCTAAAGTTCAATGATCTATTATTCTTGCCTGTGTCCTGAAAACCCAGAGAAAACACTCATTGATCTTCAAAATGAAATGAGATTTGGAACAATAATGGGAGATGGCGGTCACCACAATGGCATGTGAAAGGTGCTGTTTAAAATACGAAAAACCAGTTTCGCAACTTTACACACCGCACCCCCTCCCTCGCGTCCCCTCGCCTCCCCTCCCACCACCACGCTCTCCCTCTTCCCCTCTGCCGGTTTCTCCCTCCTTCCCTCCCTCCCTCCCTTTCAGAAAACCGAACTATTTCCAACTTGTGAACTGCAGCTGCACTTCCCAGGGCAGAGCTCGGGAGGGAACGTGGCTCCGGCGGGGGCCGCCTCCCCGCTCCCCTCGGCTAGCTCTCGGGGCTCGGCGGGGGCCGGGGAGGGGCCCGGCGCGGCGGTGGGTGGGTTTGACCCTCATTTGCTGGAGGCGGGCAGCGAAGGAGGGAGGAGGGGGCAGTGGGCGGAGGCGGGGGCTGGGAGGAGGCGCCGCGAGGGGTGGAGCGCGCCGCCGAGCCTCGCTCTCGGAGTTTTGACAGTACCCAAGCTGAAATTGTCAGCGGCGGCGAGCGCTGGAAAGTTGAGAGGAGCTCGTGGCCCCAGAACAAAGCTTGAGAAAAGTAAACAGGCGGCTGCTGCCGGCTATCCTCCCTCCTTCCCTCTCCCCCTCACCCTCCTGCGCGCCGTTGCCCTGCTGCTTCCTTCCAGAGGCTCTGGGGGTGGGGGGGGGGCACGGCTTCGCTCTCGCGCGGCGATTACCACTAACTTTTGCATCGCCCCTGTTTTGTCTTTCTCTCCCTGTCCCCTTCCCGCCCTCTGCAGACCATGGTGAATCCGGGCAGCAGCTCACAGCCGCCCCCCGTGACGGCCGGCTCCCTCTCCTGGAAGCGGTGCGCAGGCTGCGGGGGCAAGATTGCGGACCGCTTTCTGCTCTATGCCATGGACAGCTACTGGCACAGCCGGTGCCTCAAGTGCTCCTGCTGCCAGGCGCAGCTGGGCGACATCGGCACGTCCTGTTACACCAAGAGCGGCATGATCCTTTGCAGAAATGACTACATTAGGTAAGACTTGGCTGCTTCCCTTTAGATGGTGAGCAGAGCAATGGCAAGGCCAAAGGTTACCAAGGGTTTTAAGGAAAGGAACAGGATACCTGTGAGAATACGGTGTAACCTTCACCTGAAAAACCTGGTTGGTTCGATTTAAGGGGTTCGAGGAGCATGTGTTAATCTTTCAGTTTTTAATAATAAATTGATGGCAGAAGCCATACTAAGTAAAAACTCTTGTCCATCTGGTGGGACTGGGCTGTTAGGTGTGCAAAGGTTGGGCACTCTCCTGACCAGAATTTTAAGTGGTCTGCTCCAACTGGACCCTGAAAAGTGGGAGTTAGGCTGCTACCTTAAAGAAAGGTAGGGACCTACATAGAAACTCAGAGACAAAAGATTGCCTTAGAAATAAGTGTAGTTAAAAATGATTTGCCTATGGTGATGGCTAATTATATTTACATAAACTCTTTTAAACTTTTTTGAGTGGAAAACTGTGACTCATTCTTTGTGCTCCTTGTGAAAAATGCTGATTACCCATCAGTTTAAAAAACTTGTAATTCTTCTCATAGTAAACTCCCTCCCTCTCCCCCCCTCAACAAAACATAAAAACCCTCAGTGGTAGTGTTTTTCTTTGTAGACTGTTAGTTGGAGGCTTGTAATGCTCAGTGTTAGTGTGTGGTTCGTGATGTAGAATTTGCAGGTTTTTCAGTTGAGGAATGTTCTGATTTTGGGTTGTTGTTGTTGTTTGTATCACTACTCTTGATTCCCAAAAGAGATTTAGGAAAAGAGGCTATAGAATTATACTAATCTTGCATTTTAAAGCAATGTATAGGAACATTCATATGCCTGTGTAAGCAGTCTTTTCCAACAAGTTTCAGTGCAATTAATGGAAAGAATTCAGGAGGTCAGGTGCCTATAGGATCTTTTCAGGTGAACTCAAGCTACTTAAACTCATTAATTTGAAAGGAGGCATTTGAAGGATTACACATTTAATTTGAGTAAATGGTTTGATAGACTGATGCACATGAATGCTTCTAGGAGGTGTTCTGTTTCAACATCCAGTAATTAAAAAAAAAAAAAAACAACAAAAAACCCACACGCACACCGTTGATACTAGAGAACCGTTGATATTAGAGAACCGCTCACTTTTACGAAGAATTGCATTCTAGTTAAATTTCTGTCCTAAACCGTTTTCTTTATAGAATATTAGTAGAAAACATTGCTCTCTTCAATGCGGGTGAATCAGTGGATGAGGTATTTTGTACAAAGTTTAGTTCCATTGTGATTCCCTCAACTCTGCATCTAAAAGTGCAGAAGATCCCAGTACAGTTCAGAGCTGAGTATGTGTATGTTTACCCCAGTAATTTCATTAATCTGAAATGATGGAGTAAAATGACATTTGGTTATTCCGATAATGCAACCTATGTCCATTCTGCTGGCATCCTTAATCAGCCAAGTAAAAGAAATATAGGACGGGAGAGGGCTTTTATTTTTAAATTAAGATGGCAGCATTAATTTCACTAAGTGTTCTTTTAGAAGTAAATGTTGGGAAATCAGCAGGAGCATGGGTGTAATGCTTTCTGGTCCTCCTTCCAAGCAATGCCAGGAGCTTTGACAGTATTGTAATTAAATAGAGAGCAAAACTGGTAAGAAGGCAGGGTAGCTTAAAGTGCAAAAATTGACTGTTCAGATGCGGTGAATGGTACAGATTCACCTCATCTCCAAGTGCTTTCGAGAAAGCCTTCGCTTCTGATTACCACTAATTAAAAAGAAGATGGGTCCACTTGCATTCCCTCAAGACAAGTTTAGGCAAGTGGCTTTCTGGGAATCGGCTCCTTTCCCTATTCTTGGGACCAAATATAAATGCCCATTTGGTGTTTTCAACTGGCTTAATGGAGCAATGGAGGATGTGTGCCCAGCCCCGCGCCTTAATTAATTGGGTCCGTATTCTCTCTTTTTTTTCCTCTGATTTTGAAAACTGGAGCCAGGCTTGCTCTTGAACTAGATGCTAAACTGAGAACCTTAGATCTCTCCAGGGAGAGAGGAGTCATAGCTCAGTACCAAATTGATCATGGCCTCCCACTCTGCTCAGGGCTCATCAGCTGCTGAGCTCCCCCACCTCCAGGCTGAGGAATCTCTGAAGTCTTCCTTCAGTGTTCCCTCCCTCTGCCGATCAAGATGCCGGAAGGGTGGGAAGGTGAGGAGGCTCGCGCGGTCCTTTTCCTCTCAGCTACTCCCTCCCCAGTACCCGCCCCCCACCCGCTCCAGGCCCACTTGTTGGAGGAGCTTTGAATTCTGCAAGGGTGGCCACCGAAGAGCGGAGTAATTCGCTTGCCAGACGCCAGGTGAAGGGGATCCTTGGGCACCTCCGCCCGATTGGGACCACAGAGCGATCTATTAAGGGGCTTTAAACTGACTTTGAGGTGTGATCTTTTGAAAACTACCAAGATATGGCTAAAAAGCTGCGGGGAAGCAGGGCCGGGAAGGTGGTGGTGGTGGTGGTGGTGGTGGGGATGGGGGGGGCACTGCTTTTCCCTAGTCCCTTCCCCCTGCGTGACCCGGTGTTGATTGGGCAGAACTGGTCTTCTGCCGCCTCTCCCTCCAAGATTTCAGATAAAGCCGCTGCCTTGCTGCAGCGAATCCGCACAATTAAAAGCTTTAATTAGTGGCTCCTCCATTTTCTTAGTTCTGATGGGCTTTATCTAATGAGATCTGGTCTCTGGCTTAGATCTGCTCCGAATGACGTGTCCGCAATGAATGAGAGCTGCGTCGCAAACAAAACATTTAATTAACAAAATTGGCCTCTAAGAGAGGGAGAGGAAGACGGGGGGGGGGGGTGTGGAGGGGAAGGAGGAGGGTGGATCTTAAAGGGGCCAACGCCTGCCCACCCCCGCTACAAAAGTCGGCGAACCTTGTAACTGTCCCCTCTCTCCCTACCCCCAGCTTCCGACCCCCCAGCTCTATCCAAGCGCCACCAAGTAGCGTTCGAAACTCTTTTCCTCGAACCCTTCTTCCTCCACCCCTATCTCGGGCCCGAAGACTGGCGCGGAAAGTGCAGCGAAAGGAGGAAGTTCGGAGACCGACGGGTGGGGCCCCAGGTCCGGGGAGGGCGAGGAAACGCACCGGAAGCCCGGGTGGAGGTCCTCGGCGAGCCCTTTCTCGCTTGGGCCCCACCGGGCTCAGCGCCGCCCGAGGCCGCGTTCGAGGCGTCCTACGGGTCGGCGGCCTCGGGCCCGCGAGGGGGCGAGCGCAGGGCGGGAGCCGTGCGAGCCTTCGCTCTTTCTTTCCCCCGGCTCCTCTCGGGCGTTCACGTGGCGCCCGCAGCCGCAGTGAGCGCCGCGCGGCCAGGGGTGGGGGTCCCGGGCGGGGGGATTGGGGGTGGTTGATGGTAGAGGGTGTGTTTGGGGAGGGGGTAGCGTTAGGAACCGAGGCGCCGCCAGACATCGAGTTCATTTCCCTGGTAATCAACAGCAAGCTGCTATATTCAGAGAATGCTGTCCCTTTAATTGAACAGGCTAGGTAATTAAATGGCACTTTTCCAATAGGACGTGCTAGGTAAATCTAATAGTTGGTTATTTAATATCACTTTGAAGTCTGCCCACTCAAGCACAATGACAGCACAGGAGCATGTGAACTATTAGCTAGGAAAAAAAAAAAACCCAGGATCTCAAAAATTAATTAAATCGCATGCAATTTAGGGGGAACGTTTATCTTGATTTGTCATAACAGAATTAATTCAAGGCCTCCAATTCACTTGGGGGCAGATCTGTTACTCTGAATTAACCAAGCGTAATTTGGCTGATTTTTTTTTTTTTCTCCCTCCCCTCTCTAATGCAGCAATTGCGATTATTCACAGCCCCCCTCTTAAGTATCAATAGCTTCTGGTGCTTTTAAGGTGCTTGGTCTCTAGTTATTCCGAAGTACCTTTAATGGACTTGGCTCCAGGCATAATTTCTGGGTTGCATTTCTTTGTTACATTTAATATAGCTGGTGCAGAATTTAGATTAAATATAGGAACCTGCTGGAAAACCAATTGCTTCTGGATCAGTAGCTGTGGATGTGCATTTTTCTCCTCAGATAGGATGCTGATATTTACTTGCAGGTACAAATGTATACCTTTCAGCCATACTTTTAAAAACGCACCTCTCCTTGCCTGAAAGCAGTTTAGAAAACACAGGTAGCACGCCATATTGCATGTATTTGGCTTGAAGTAATAATGCAGTTGAAAATAAGCCCACCTATGGGTCACTGAAGTTACTAAAAGATGCTAAGCATTATTACTAAACTAAAAATACAACTGCTGTCCATCTCTTCATGTCAGCAAGGAGAGTTGGAGCGGAGCTGGTGAGCGGTACTAACACTACATGGCGTTTTTCATATAGGAGCAAAGCACCTTTAAAGTGCAGAGGTTTGGTGCGATTTCTTCCTTTCTTTTCCCTTTTCCCCATATAAGGAACCTCTTGATGTTTGTGATTGATTGCATTGCCCAAATGCTGAAATATTAACGACCTTCTTGGACTGAGGACCCAAAGAAAGGAAACTGAAACCGATTCTGTCATCACAATTAAAGACTCCCCTGGCTTTAATTAGCCTGACCTGGGGTATATCTCCCCATTGCTTGAGTTAAAGAGAAAAGAGCCCATTATAGTCCAGTCTGAGACCGATAGCTACTTAATTGAGCACCTAAAGCCTCGAGCCTTTTAAATCAAACACTGTCCTGGACAGTCCCCCTGGTTAGATAATTAACTCTACAGCACACAGAAACGTTGTAAAAAAAAAAGAAAAAGTAAAAAGAAAAGAAAACCACACAACTTTTCAGAAAAAGGGTGGAATTCTAATGGTAGCCTTCGTCTATGGTAAAAGGGGATTAAAAATGTATATAGACATGTAAGTTGTTCTGTTCTGAGGCAGCATGAAAGCTGTAGACGTGGAAAGATCTTAAACCCCATTAATAATGTTGTTCAATAGCACATCAGTCCCGGGTAGATTGTGGTCATTTTCAAACTTTGTAACTGTAATTTCTGACACTTTAGGAATCCCATGATTTTGTGGCTGACTGTTCCCTGAAAGGTTATGAAAGTGGCACTGGAGAAAATAGGATGTATGAAAAGCTTTTGGATTACATACGACTGCCCTGATTATTAAAATACACTTAGTTGTGGAAGACATACAACCGACTTTACTCAGGGTGAATTGTTAAATAAATGAACACTTAGGCTGGGTAATCAGATCGGTACTGTGAAAGGGTATTTTTGAGATGGAGTGTCACGGTGTACCTGTTGGTAGTGGCAGCCATAATTATAGACTCTTATCCATTAAAATACTTCTGGGTTGCTGTTAGAGGATATTTGGTCCTTAGCTGTAGTAGGGTTCTGTTCCCCATCCCCATTATCTACACCCTCCCTACCTTTATCCTCAGCATGTATTCAGCCACATCGACATGTTTTTAACTTTATTTTTACTCAGATTGTTTGAATTCGGTACTCCTCTTGAGGATTGGAAGAGCCCTGCTGTTGACTATAAACTCTTTGCCCATGGCCACGCTAATTCTCTGGCCGTCCTGCCCTTCTGAGAACCCCCCCCCCGCCGCCGCCCCCGGCAGCAGTGACAACCCACACTCAACACTCGAGAAGGGTGCTGGGGGTGAGACACCAGGAGGTCCCCATCAGTGTTCCTGAAGTGGTCCAGCATTAGGAGACGGCAGCCAGTGGCCCTGAGCTCCCACACGGTGTGGTCCTGTGGCTAGAGGTCCTGACTGTATTATTTCAGCTTTCTCTGTGTAACTGTTCTGATTCTGCAAGAACGTGTCAATGTGTCGTGGATCTCAGACTAATTAGTTTTGAAATGGAGTTTTGATTGAACTCTTCAAATCGATGCTGCTGCAAAATTTGTTTCTCGGGCTTCCTATTAAAAGCCATCTTAAGGGGCAGTTTTACTACTCTCCCTGTCGTTCAGTCGATACATTTAATAACAACTTACAGGCTATTTTCAATAAAGTGGCGACAGCAAATTAGTAGTTTGAACATGACAAGCCTCTTCTGCAAGACCAGATTCTGAAAACACAAAGCAATTATTTTTATATAGAGGCATGCCGCAATCATTCAGATTACGGGGTGTTCTATAGGAACATGTCTCCTGGTTTGACACAAACTGCATTTTATGACTTTATTTGGACAAGGAGGAAATGCAAATACTAATATTTATTATGACACTAATATGTTAATTTGTAAGTCCTATTACGTTGTTTTTCATTGTTGAAAAGTGCTTCTCTGACCCTGCTTACTTGTTCCGATATCACCTTTCAATGTGAAATCATTTTGGTCTGTTTAATAAATATTTGTGGATATTAAAAAGGGAAGCCCAAAAGCAAATAAAGCTTCCCAGCTTGAGTCTACAGACATCATAAAAGCCAAAGTTCGGTATTCATTAAAATATTTTGTTGTGCCCATGGAAGGATATTAGGAATTACGTATATATTTTTCTTCAGTACACCACACTTCCTTGAGCTTTCCCCTCCTCTACAGCCTTCTCCTTCTCCCCCTCCTCCCCCTATGGCAGATGTTGTGGTCTCATTTGATTGCATAGGAAAACTGCAGTGATACAGCAAACACCCAGAGAGATATGATGACAAATGGGTCCAGATCCCGGTAAATTACTTTCTGCTCAAATCGAAATTTCATTCAGTTTGTTGCTAGCAGAGATGAAGTAATCTAAATTGTGGACTCAGGAGCAGATAGAGGGAAGTTGGAGCAAGCATTTCATTATCAAGAGAGAGAGAAGGTTAGGATGAAAGAGATGAGCAGAGGCAAATCTTAAGTGTTGACACCATGATTGAAAAGGTTAACCCATACACATTATATATCAACCTGGATAGCAGAGAGTTTCTAATGGAAAGTCTGCACTGATGGAGGTTTACGGGAGTTTCAATACACTGAGCATGATGTCTTCTTAGATATACAATCAAATCCTCTTAACCCTTTTGATGACTCATATCTCAAGATATGATTAAAGTACAAAAGAGTTCTTCATATAATTTCAAGGACACAATGCATTTAAACTCCAGTCATGAATTGTATCTTTCTTTTTTATGATGAACCCAGTAATCTGATAAAATGTGTGTAGAACAGAATTGTTTTGTATTTGCTGGAGGTGTAAGTCAATATTTTGATTAAATCCGGGGCATCTCTTCCTCTGCGGTAGGCAGAAGTTAGCTGTGGCCCCCCAAAAAGGATTTTTCCCGGATTATATAAATCACTCCTAAAATTTGAAGCCTGAGTCAGAATTCAGCCTCTCATCAAATGCATTTCAAAGGGAGGGCCAGAGGCCAGGGGATGTCTTTCGTTCTTTTTCTTTGGTTTCGGGTTATTCATTGGTGTCCCCCGTCATCTTTGTTGCAGGTTATTTGGGAATAGCGGTGCCTGCAGCGCTTGCGGACAGTCGATTCCTGCGAGCGAACTCGTCATGAGGGCCCAAGGCAATGTGTATCATCTGAAGGTAGCATTTGCCCCTCCTGTCTTTTAAAAAGAATCCTACCTTTCCTACGCAGAAACAAAGCATTTCTCCTTAAACTCTGTTTCCTCAAGCCGTAGACACTAAAGGGATCTACTGAAGTTGTAGCTTGGCGGTGATTAGTAGTACATACTCGCTCCCCCCCCCCCCCCCCCCCCCCCCCCCACCCCCCCGAACCCCACATGTACCGGTTTCCCCCCCCCCCCCCCCCCTTTAGCCTGATCCAGTTGATTGCGTTCGGGCTTACTGTTTTCTGGAATCCTGTCGAAGGAAGAAAAACACTAAACCCTAAGTGGCTCTGTACTTGACGGATACTTGCTTACGAACAATTTATAAACTTGTGACAAAAAAGACTTAATTTGTACTCGTTTTCAGTGGGTTTGCTTTTCTCTTTCAGTGTTTTACATGCTCTACCTGCCGGAATCGCCTGGTCCCAGGAGATCGGTTTCACTACATCAATGGCAGTTTATTTTGTGAACATGATAGACCTACAGCTCTCATCAATGGCCATTTGAATTCACTTCAGAGCAATCCACTACTGCCAGACCAGAAGGTGAATACGTAGCAGCTGCTAATAAGCTTTATTAGAGCGAGTTGGAAGGTTCAACCTTCAAGGGAGTTCTCCTGGGCGGATGTGTTTTCGTGTGCCCTTTAAAGAAATGTAGACGACTCGTACGTACAGGGTTCAGAAATAGGAATATCGACTGATTAAATTGTGAATCTTTTGTAGTTCCAAAAAGGTCCTGACTTAGTTATATGTGTAGCCTCCCCAGTGTTGAACAGAGGATTATCAATGCTAAGTCAAAGCATAAAACTTCCATATAACCGGTTGGTTTTCCCACTTGACAGTTTTGAAATTCAGAAGTACGATGTGAATAGGTGATTGGGGGAGGCAAATTAGAGCATTTATGGTAGAAAAAGGGAGTAAATGTCTTTATCATGAAAGAATGATTTCTGCATCGGTTGTAGCAATTCCGGACACCTGCCTTCCAAACCCAGTTTACCGTGCTGTTTTGAGAAGAGCAGTTTTACAAACATTGTGTAATTCCAGAGGGGGGGCATTTTTGTTGATTGGTATATATAGTCTTATAAAATTTGAAGAAGTTACGACTTTTAAGACAGAGTTCTAGGTTTTTGCTAATCACTTTGGGCCACGAATCGCTCCACTGAAGATTATGTATCTCGAGTCTCGAACCACAACTGGAAAGTTTTTGGACCAGAGTTAAAAGTGAGGATATTTTATACAGTTGTTCAAGTCACTTCAGAGGGAAAATGGTGATCAACAGTTGTCCAGCGCCCCGCCCCCCCCCCCCCCCCGCCCCAGTACTGGATAGTTTTAGATCTATTTTAATCTCCTTAATAAGTCCTATAGCTATGCAAGTGAGTGCATTTTGATAACTGCTGTGCCTAATTTGTAACAATTACTGTCAACCTTCAGTTAAGAGACTGTTCATTCCACACTGGCCCAGAAAAGAGTGAAATGTATGACTCGTGCGCATAATTTTATTCACATCATATTTCATACTGATTATGTATTGATGACATTGATTCATTTACTCTTTACAGCGCCACTTGCATGGATATTAAATCTTATTGACCACAGATGAATTTTAATTTCAGATTGGTGATAGATTTTTCCATCAGCTCTGATAGTATGTTTGACTTTTTCATCATTAACCCAGGCAATCACACAGCACTGAGTTATTGCATTGAAACAAAAAGTGCACACTTCACTTGGTAATTCTTTATGGATTTACAATAGGAACTTCATTAATGTCTGTTGTAAGGATCACAAAAAAAAAAACAACATTTATCTGCAAATAGGAATATAGCAAGCTTCAAAAGGCTCAGGAAAAAATATTAGACTTCTTTGTCTTCTGTAATGCATTTTCTTAATGCTGTGTGTGGGGAAAATGACTAATATTTGAAAACTTTTTACCATTTAAAATTATACTGCCATGTTTTAATGCTGATTTTTATCATTTTCCCTTACTCAAATTTATGGCCTAAGTTTAAATTTATTTTCCATTTCTTTATTAAGTAAATGTCAATTATATCAAAATAGGCACACTTTTCTTTGTTTAATTTACTAATATGGGAAGCTATGTAGCATACCATTTTAAGAATAGAAGTCTAATTTTTTATTGCAGATGAACCAGTCACCATCGATGAGGCATTTTAAGCTTCGTTAAGGAATGCCAGTACATATAAATACTTACGATTTTTAGTTTTTGAATTGTAAAGAAGTGAATCTATAGGGCAGAGTTGAGAACAATGGATAGGTAACACATATTTTGAGATAACCATTTCAATGTAGAGGCAAAGCCATTTCCAATTATACTTGGGAGCAAAAAAAAAAAAAAGGCAACAAAAGAAATGTGCTAGGAATAAAATGGTTGATCTCTTCCTCATCCCCTCCCATGTAAAAGCGTAGTTTTTTGCAAGTTAGATCTTAAGTTTGTTGCTGGCTTTGTACCATTTCTTTCCCTGACTTAACAAAGTATAAGAAATGATTGTTGCGGCTCAGCACCGTGCAGCGTGAGGATTCAGGGACATGAAGACAAGACGGAGAATGGAGCCAGCTGCGCGGTGCTGCATACAGGCAGTAGCCACATTCGCTTGGGACTAAGTGCAAAGGGCAGGTAGCGAATAGGAGCAGGGTCTCCCGGTGCTGTCTCATTGGGTACAAGATGGCGTAAGTTGAGAGGTTTCAGGGAGGAGAGCTGGAGAAACATCTAGTTTGCATGGTTATAAGATTGCATGTATTGTGCCTTTCAGGTGAGTCTTCTGTTTTGCACACTTTTTTCAGGATGGGAGAGGTAGGATGTTTGGTTTGGATCACAGAACATAGTAGGCAACCAGAAAGAACCAACTGGTATATACTTCCTTAATGTTGGAAGCCAAAAATAGACAGGTGGCCTTCAAAAATTAATAGCTCTTAAAGGGCAGAGGGAAGTATAACTTAAGGATATGTTCTTGTCAGACATTGGTAAGAAGCTGTGTTTTGGGGGTGATGTTAATTAAGAACATTTCCCCATTGGCATAAATGTCTCACAGATTTGCCCTCGGTGCTCAGCTTGCCACGAGCACAGTCAATTCACAAGGTGGTTTTTGTAAATAAAGGTTTTGGACAAGCTGAACGTGGTCCAGAGAGACACTAATGAGAGGGCAAGGGGAAAGAGGTAATGAAAACACACTTCCTGGTGGAACGTAAACTGCCTTTTGGACCTAGAGAATGCTTGACAATTATTTTCCCAAATCCTTGTGGCGTTTCCTTTCTGGAGGAGATGAGATGGGGAGAAATGACAAACTGCCCCACTTTATTATTTTCTTCTCTCCTCATCCTCCATATTTTTGGTAGGGAAAACTGGACATCAGTTTTGGCCGCTTTCCTTTTATTCACTGAACCAATTAGGTTTTTAGTGCATGATGCATGATAAAAATAGCCAAGCTCCTCTGGCTTAAAAGTAATGAGTTGATTATTTATACACCCCTTCTTTAAAGGCAGCTAATTGTATAGAAAGCATAGGTCCCCATCATCTGGTCCCTTTAAACTTTTATTCTCCTGAAATTTGTTGCCAGTGTCTGGGATGTGTAGTTTAGCTGTTGTTCTGCATCATTGGCTTTGGTATATCCTGAGAAAAAATAATTTTGAGTTTATAAATCCTGTAGTGTCCTGAGTGAAATCTCAGACCACTAGTGTTCAAGGATCTACAAAATTTTATAGTCTGTATCATTTAAAGGAGGCTGGGCCGTCCTCAGGAGAATACTGCCTTCTAGAGAGTTAACGTAAATACAATCAGGAATTGTGGCTAATTTTTTTTTTTTCCTAATTTTTATCTGCTCTGGAATTATTTCTTCCACTCGAGTGGCTGTTTGGTCTAGAATTATCTGCGCTTTTCAGTAAAATATGAGCTCACATCTCTGTAGTTGGAGGAAAATTTAGCAAGTGTTCTAGTTTACGTATCACCCCGCAATTCCCCTGTAGTTACATAATTGGTGTTGTGTGTGTCCATCGTAGAGGACATTTGATGCTCATTTATTAAATATGCTCGCTGGCTGCCACCGCATCTTTGTTCTGGACAGACAAATTACCTTTCTCACACTGAGCTTCCACTCTGGGGAATTAAGCCTCCACCACTTTAATTAGCTTGGAAGTGGGGGGTTGCAGTTCCTAATAGACTTCAGGCTTTATAGTAAGTTAGGGAAAGGGTGAAATGAGAACTTCCTGGGAAGCTCAAAATGTCATTTAAAAACCATGAAAACCTAATATATATTATTTCATTTTGGTAATTGCAAACCAATTGTATTTGATGACTGGATTATCATTTCTAACTTAGACATGAAAGTTAGACTTCCCTTGAACTATGTTTTTTGATCGAGTACAAGTCATTCACATATCACATATGTTTGATTCATATATATTTACAATAGTTATGTAATACTAAGGGACATAGCAGATAGATACTAAGTGAAAAGTAGTATCTGAATATTTGTATGTATGTGGGTGTGCATGTATGTGTATATATGTTTACCTTATACCCACATATACATATATATTTCAACACATACCTTTAGGCTGAGAAGGACATGGGTGAATGGATGTCATGTGGGGGTATCAGAATGATCACTGCCAATATTTAGCTTTTATTACATGCCAGGCACTGTTGAAAGTGCTCCATCTGTATTATATAATCCTTGTAACAGCCTTATTATCCCCACTTTCCGGATGAGGAAACTGAGACCCAGAGTAACTTTGCCAGAGGTCACACAGTTGAGCATATTACGCCAAAACCTCCTTGTGGGGCACTTGGCTCTGCATGTGCATTTATGATGCTCCTACTAGGCGAGATGTAATTCATCCTTTTTAGAAGAGAGTTCAGCAATTAATTGTAGAACTTTACACCAGAAACTTTATGAAAGTCCATTTATTGTCTCATTTTCTCTGCTAGTAAAGCTGCAGAAAACGTTATGCTTTAGTTCTTCGCTGCTGGAGTAAGCGTAGAAAGCTTCCATCAAGTCACAGTTGGAAAGTAATCTAATAAAAGAAGATTAGTGAACGTAGAGGAGACAAAAGCAGTCATGTTTGAGTTTAATATCTCAAATTGACCATTTTAGCTAAGATGCCCGTTTGTATTTCTTGCAGGTCTGCTAAAAGGTCAGAGGAATGCAGAATGCGTGCCTTCATCTCAGATTTTGTTCATCACAGGCGAATCCCATGCGTCTTCAGTAGACAAGTCACCTTTGTAGCTAGCCCCAGTGCCGGCGCCATGCATTGCACCTTCTTTAGTCTTGATTGCCCTTCCCGCATTTATTGGTGTATTAAAATGACTGAATATGAACATTAAGGACTCCATGAACCTGGGCTAATGGGAGACTGTAGAGAAAATGAAAAAAGATCCACCGGAGGACATCTTTGGGGGGGGGGAGGGAGCTTGGGAGGAGGGAAATGACTAATGAAGCTAATTAAAAGAAGCATTCAAATCTGCTTTCTACCCTCATTAACAATTAGCAGGGCACTGGCCAGAGTTTGTACCCTGTGTTTTACCTTAACAACATTCTATTTGCTCTTTGTATATTTAAGTGTTGTAAGGAAATGTGTTTCAATCAAAACTGAACATGAGATAAAGGAAAGAGATGTGGCTTTTGTGATATTCTATCACAAACACTTTTATTGTATCTCTGTAAAATACAATGTATGTATGCATGTAAGTGTTTTCGTCCTAATGTTGCTACTTCCATGGCAAAGGAAAAAAAAGAACGAAAAAAAAAAAGAAAAAAAATTGGAAAAAAAAATCAGGCTCATAGCAGCTACTGTGTAGAAATTTCCCCCTACTTCTAATTTGCTGAATGAAGAAGAAAAATCTTTTATTTGTGATATTTTCAGAGACATTTGCTCTAGTATGGTGTATTTAAATAATAAAAACTTAAAAATTCGATGGAGTTTGGATTTAAACACTGCTTTTTCTCTTCTGTATTTTGGAAAATTTAGTAAGTTTGTTTGATACCAACTTCGTCGAGGGAGGTGGTACGTATATTTATTTAGCTCTGGGCCAATAAGGTTTTCTTCAAATTAACCATGCCATTTTTGGCAGGGTTACAAAGCAATGTTTCTAACGGAGTCCTTTTTATAAGTTCTGAATATTCTGGTAACTTAAGCACTTCATTACACTCCTATATCACAGTGAATCTTTTGTGTTTATATATAAATATTTGTTCGATTCTTCAGCTATTCTGTTGATTCTTTCTTCCTCAGTAGGAAAGCCTTGGGTATTGATGAAAAGCATGCTAAAGACTGTGATATCACCATTTTGTTCTCTTCCCCAAGTTTCTGGCTTTTGAAGGAAATAGCATTTCTAAACCATACCTGTACATATTGTGAAGTTTCTTGAGTCGTTAGGGACGCAGAGCTCTTGTACAGACGTCTTCAATGGGTGAAGCAGCCATTTCCTGGTGAGCTTTTAGACTCCTGTGGTCTGCTGTACGATTTGTTTATTTGGTTTTGCTCACACTCCTCTGTCGGCTCTGTCTTTCCATATGTTTGGGGTAGGATTTGGATTTCACTTAGTAGTCATCTTGAGATAGTCAGTGGCTAGTTCTGGGCTGCAGCGTGTCCCCAACAGCGCTTGCATTGCATGCAGTGGTCCCCTGTGGAAAGCATGTGCAGGCCAAGGACTCGGGGGGGGGGGGGGGGCTGTGCCCATGGCCAGTGTTAGAAGGAGCAAAAAGCCAAAGAGGCTGCACTACTAGGCTTGGGAGCAAATCTCAACTACAACTTCGATCACAGGTTCCTAAAACCAGGTGTGTGTATAATGCTACTTTAAATATCCTTTCTAAAAACGGCATTTGTTTTCTTTTCTCTTGTTCCAGAAAAGCTCCCAACATAGACCTCTCAGAACAGGTTATATAGAGAGAAATAGCTCAGTACATCTCAGCTAGCAGTCAGCTTCCGTTTGGGATCTTCTGCTTTCAAAGACTGTCACAGTCCGGGAAGAAAAAATCAGTTGCTTAAAACTATGACCCTCCTATAGGAGAATTGAAAGGTAGAGAGTTAAAGTGAATAGTACTATTAGAGCTTTATGAAAAGAAAATGCAAGAAAAAGAAATGAACAAAATCACAGAACAGTATCTGTTTTGAGTTAAATCCTTGGGGAATTTCTAGGAACCAGTTCTTGTTCTTAAATTTTTTTTTCCCCCTTTAAGATACTTTAAAGGAATGTGGACTCTTCAGGACAGAAAGGGAGAGATATGTTAATAAGAACGCAAGCATCCTCTCTATTCTTTTTGGCGTAAGCACTCATGTCCCATATAGTGCAGAAATTCAAAGGGGATAGTTAATAACTTTTAGTAAGTAATACAGTGTGGCATTTGGTGATGTGAAGGGCTCAGGTCATTAAAGACTTTAAATGAACTATTATATGACTGGCTCCTCAAGCACTGCTGCATATTTAATAACGAGCTTCTAAAAGCATTTCTTAAGTTGCAGACCTATAAGATTACAAATGTCACTCATGTTAGTATAATCCACATGCAAGTGATGAAGCCTTCTCTTTGATGTGCTAAATTGGAGAAGGACTAATGGAGCTATGAATATACAATAGAACATATTTAAGTAGTAGTCTTGCTTTAGGTAAAACACTTTCTTGAAACCAGAGGCATTTCAAACAATAAAACCCGGCTCTAATGGGGATGCTCTGTGTGGATAGAGAGCTCCTAAAAACACTCAGGTTTATTCTGATATGAGCAGTGATTGTGTTCCTCCCCCAACCCCAACGTGGCTGAGGAAAAAAAAAAAAATCCAGCAGCTTGTTCACCTTTCATCCACGGCATTTGTGATGTTAGTGAGATGTACTCCATTCTTTTGAAAGGACTTATTTAATATTAACCACATCATAGAGCAAGATGGCCCCCAATCCCTACAAGCAAGTGCAATTAAATAAAAGCAAATGTTACTGAGCCCTGCTGAACTCTTGATAAAAAAAATGTTTATGAGAACATATAAATGTCTCAGTCATGCAAATTGTCATTCTTGCTAATGAAACAACTTTGTAAAAAGATTGTCCTCTGAAAGGGTTTAATGTTTTTTTTGTTTTGTTTTTTACCTGTCTACTTAGATTTACACATCCTGAAAGGCAGGAGAGCCCGGAAGAAGCTTTTCCAAACCAAATCGTTTGCCACAAGAAACTATTTCCAGCTCTTCATGATTTATTAGGAAATAGTTTAACATGGACTGTAGTGTCTTATAAAATGCAAAATGAGAAAACGGTCACACCAAAATGAAGCCTGTGAAATTGTCATCCTCTTACTATTAACTGTATTTAAATTCTTTCTTTTGCTCTTATTAACACTGATATTTGAAACAACAACCATCTAAAATGAAGCTCTTAAATGGCTTTAAATGTCAATATAGTAAGATTCTAATGTGTACTACTATTTATATAAAATATTTCTTAGGACCAATAAATTATACAACAGTGAGTCCAAGAGCTATATATCAAGGCACCAGGGAAGAGTTTCCCTGTGGCCTAAATAATTGTGCTTAAATTGAGAAGAGGTTGTCCAGAGACTCCTTCACCAGGGCATTCTATCCTGGGAGCTCCTGCCCCTAAGACTTGGAGACACAGCATTTACAAGTTGATGTTACTTGTCACTTTGTTATTAAGACTCACCTATTGTCAGTCCAGCCAAATCACAGAAATGCTTATTGCAGTTAAATAGCAATTTGTTTCCATGAAACTGCAATTAAAGTATTACTGAGCAGCCATTTTAGATTGGCAATGCTCTGAGCGCATGTTAAACAGCCAGCAAGTCCCGCTTGCAGAGCCCGAGACCCTACTAGCAGCAAAGTGTAACCCATTCACTGGCGTTGGGTATCTAGTTAAGAGGCATTTGTAGCCCTCTGCTCACATCGTGAACACGCTGAGAGCAGTGACAAGTCAGGGCCGATTTTTGGAAGGTGAACTTGCAACTTACCTCAAGTGAATACAATTTTCAGTTGTACAAGAAGTGCTTTATGCTAGTAGATATGTGCCTGTTTCCTAGAGGGAATGTTTTCGAGTTCAGATTGATTCTGCTGAGAATGGACTGCAACTCGGAGGCCTCAGGCCAATAATGTACTGCAGGTCCTGACATGTTACAGCTGTGTAAACAGGGCCATTCTATCTCCTAAATCACAACTAATAAAGCAGAGGATGAAAATCAATTGATTCTGTTATAAGTTCTTTGAATGACACTAGAAAGTTGTTTAATGGCTCTGTTAGAATGGACAAGCCTGGGTTTAGCCACCAAAAAATACCTCTTGTAATCCTCTCGCTTCCCTCTCAAAACAGGGCAGGATAGCCTTTCCGCCTGCTGGCATCCCCACCACCACATCCAAACCTGCGGGGGGAAGGAAAGCATCAGAACTGAACTCCTCCAGCTGATCTAAACTTCAGGATATGTTGAGTGAGAAAGGTGAAGTGTAAAGGTTTTACTGAAAATGCGAAACATTGATGTAAGATCCTGAGAGAGAGAAGGATTTTAGAGGTGGTGTTTATAATGCAATTAGCACTGAATTCTAACTAGCTTCGAAACAATCATTAGCTCACGAGAACAGGATGCATCTCACCTTCCTTCGGCCTAGAAAGTTCTCCCCTACCTTGAATCAAAAGGTTTACGTCCTCAACTTTTTCAAAAATAATTTTCTTGTGCAGTGTATTTATTTGTAGACATTGGCCTGTGTTTGAGCTGCGATTTTTTTTTTTAATAAGAGGAAAACAGTTTCTTCCTAAATTAATTTTTCATTTGCAGTGAATTGAGTGCTTTTAGGAACTGAAAAGAGAAAATCTGGAGACAAACTGAATTTACAAATGAAGATTAATTATGAAAGTTGGAAAGGAAATTGCTTGCTTAGGCTGCAATTGTATACCTTTTTCTTCATTTAAATAAGGTTAGGTAGAGATGGGTGTGTCTTAAGTACCTCAGATCCCTCTAAGGCCTCGATTCAGTTTCTGTCATCAATCATGGGCCTTCCGCCTTCCATAAACCTTAACATCTTTAACTAGAATGTGTAATATAATAACTTTGTCTTGGAGTTGTGGAGTGCTTTGTAAATGTATTTGTATGTTCACATTTACAGTGAACGAGTTCAAAACACGTCCTATCTCAGTCCTCACAATAACCCTCTTGATTATTACTGCCTTGGTTTTGAGGGCCTGAAGGGTCAGGGAGGTGACGGTCTAAGCAAGACCAGGACGAGAGGGAGGCAGCAAATGGATGTTCTCCTTGGGTGCAGAATTTAAGGGAGTGCCAAAGAATCAGTAATCAAGATAATGTTTTAATGCAATATTTTTAAATAGGAAATGAATGCGAAAACATCTATGGTGAACAAAACATCACAATTTTAAATAAAGGCAGGATCAGAGTTACTTCTCTTGACTTTTGCCTCGGGTTCCAACATGGCTGGGCACTACTATTAAGACCCAAAGTGCCAGGGCTGCTATTTGAACCCTGGCATTTGGCGCATTTTGGGAGAATTGCTTTATAAATTGTTAGGCTGCAACAATGACACACTTTATTCTATGAGCTATAACTAGGTTTTTTTCCTCCCCTTAAAAAACTAAAGTATTGCATTTTGTCTTTATCCAACCTGGAATACCGACTCCTTTAGCTCACCTGCATATTTTAGCCTTGCTCTGAAAGAAATTTCTGTTCAGTTTTGACAAATCTCAACTACTTTGTGAATTAGTAATTAAGTATCGTTGGTAACAACTCTGCCTGTAAGTTGTTGTGGAGGAAAAAGAGCAAGACTTCAATAATCATGTTAGTCCAGAGAGTAAAATGGATGACTGTATCTAACAATATCCCATACAAAGTAGTAAATGGTATGTTTCAGATGTTTGAATTGAACTGTCTTCAGTCTGCAGATCACTGTGGCAAATAACAGGTCAATGAATTCAGTT